TTTTTATGGTAATTTTTTTTAAACCCTTGCAGTGATTTAAAAAAATCTTAAAGTTTAAAATTTTCCCGTTCATGGAGATTATCATTAACTATGAAATAGTTACAGGTAAATTAGATCATGTTTTAGAATTATTTTTTCAGTCTATCTGAAAGCCCATTCAGCTTCAGAGCAACAAATAGCGATAGTGTCCATCATTACATTAGTTTTCTTTATATTACGAGGAATTTATGAAGTTTCCCTGTTAAAGCCGTCTTAACGAAACACTGAATATCGTTTATCTTTATTTCGTGTTTTAATATAACATTTAATTGTTTGCATTATTTTTTCCTCCGTCTGGCTATGGGCATATTACTTGTGTGGCCCATGTCTCAATAACAAACATTAAAAATCGCTTCTAATTCCTCAGCATCGAGTTCATTTTTTATTTTACTTTGCTGTGATAATCTGCACTGGTGAAATAATTTAAGAGAATTTGCATATTTTATCGAATTGCATGAAAAGAACTGAAGGAAAAACCACTGCTTCTAGATAAAAATGCAAATCTTGTACGACAAATATGTAAGCGTACACATGTGTGTAGGCCGAGCCAGCAGATAAACAGGCTTTATAAGCGCGTGGGAGGGTAAGACGAATTGCGTTCGCTAGCACACCAAGGTGAATTTCTTGGTGTTATCTTGCAGCAATAGGTTAAATTGATATCGGAACAGTAAAAATGAGTAACCACCAACGTTTAGATGATGGAATGAGGTGGCGAATTGTGGGGAGGCTAGATGCAGGCCAATCGCATGTCCAGATATGCAGAGAGTTTAATTTAACGCCCAGCGTCGTGTGTAACCTATGGAAACAGTTCCAGGATACTGGATCCATCGAAAGAAAGCCTGAACAAGGTCGTCCAAGAGCCACGACGACCAGAGAAGATCGCTATTTGTCCATTTTAGCGAGGCGTAACAGAGGGGCTACAGCTTCTCAGCTTTCTCGGGACCTGCATGCAGCCACAGGAACCCGTGTAATAAGGGTGAATGTTTCCAAAAGACTGAATGAAAGAGGGTTGTTTGCCAGAAGATCGGCTGTTTGCGTCCCGCTCACGTCTACGGACAGGAAAGTCCGATTAGCATAGTGCAGGCAGCATAGTGAATGGAGTACGGAGCAATGGGCGACCGTTCTGTTCACCAACGAGTCCCGTTTTAGCCTAAACACCGATTCTCGCCGTACTTTCATATGGAGAGAGCCAGGGACCCGCTACCTACCCTCCAATGTCCGCGAAATCAACAATTATGGCAGTGACGGTGTAATGGTCTGGGCAGGCATCATGCTTGATGGCCGCACACCTCTCCACGTCTTTCACAGAGGCCCTGTGAATAGGGTGAGGTATAGGGATGAGGTCTTGGAGCCTTATGTTCGCCTTTTCCTGGGTGCAGTGGGCCCCGAGTTCACCTTACAGGATGATAACGCGAGCCCACATGGAGCTCTTCTGGTCAACGAATCAAGCCTCAACCCTGTAGAGCACGCCTGGGACGCTCTGGGGAGGGCAATTGCAACCCGCAACCCCCTCCGACAATCATCCAGGAACTGGAAACAGCGTTGCTGAATGAGTGGGACCAGTTGCCACAGGCACTGATAAACTGCCTTATTTCCAGTATGACATCACGCTGCGAGGCCTGTATGGCTGTAAGAGGGGACCATACCCCTATTAAGCCATTTCTTTTGTGTCTTCTGCAACCGCTGTTTCAGACCTTCAGACTCTCATGAGGGTTACACGCGAACGTGTGTGTCTATTATAACTATTAAACGTTTATTTTGTTTTTATTATATCAACCTATGTTAACACCAAATATTATTAACATCTGTCCATGTTAACACCAAATATTATTAACATCTGTTCAGTAGTTCTGGAGATCGTAGATCAAATGTGAAAATTCTCTTAATTTCTTACACCAGTGTATTTTGTAAAAACATTACAAGGCAGTTTAGCAATTTTTCTCGTGATAATTTATTCTTGCTTTCAATTGTTAATGCTTGGATTTCTTTTGATCTTAATTAATTAATGCTTGGATAATTCATTTATTTTAAGCAAACCAAAAGAATAAGGGGCTTGCAAATTAGAAGCAAGTGTAGCAAAAGGTTTGCATGATTTCTCTATAACTTACCACTGTTTGTAGACATAAAAGATATGTACTCCAACAACACACCTTAATTTTATAAATTACCATAACCAGTGCCCGCGAAAAACTTTCCTCTCTTTAGGCAGATAGTCCTCGCATGCTTTTCTGTATCCGAATAAACAAACTGTAAACAACAGTATAAGAAATTAAGCGAAGAATTTTTAAAAATGGGCCTCTTTTGTTAGAAGAATGTTAAATCCTCTAGATTTTGTTGCAGCGAATAATTTGAGATTTTTAGCTGGAGGTGATACTTTTTGATACAGGTAAGCCCTATAAAATAGGATCATTAGATTCCTAGGCCTTTAAAAGCCAGGTAAAGTTGCTTAACAACACTGGTAGTTCGACCTGAGGTTCAAATCCCAGTTTCGTGATTTTCTCCACTGTAATGTGTATACTAACCAGTTACCCTTAGAAAGTCCTCCACGAAGGCATCCCTCCCCCTTAGGCAGATAGCTTTCGAGTACATTGTCATAATCAAATAAACAAAAAAAAAGATAGAATCCTAAAAATATACTGTGTTATGCGAATTTATGTAACCGAATAAAAAAAATTGAGTAAAAGTCAGGGTTAGTTTTAGAAAGGTTTAAAGAATGCTGTTTTCATTTCGGAACTGTAAGAAATATATTTACTAAAATAATGATCGATCATCAAAAGTATTCGATATTGTTATTACTTAACATTTTCTTTGCCGTCTCATTCAATCATGATTAATCGAAGGTATATTTTTCTCCAGCGATATATCTTGTGGAGTTCCACCCTTTTATCTAACCACTAAGTGTGGACGAACCTCGTGAACAGCTAAGCGAAAAATCTCTCAAGTTCAGTAACACAAAGGTAAAACTCACGAAGTGTTAATTACCCTTTATTTCTCGAAATAAGGGCCCACCAGCGACCGAGCGGTAAGACGCTGAACACTGGTAGTTCGGTCCGCGATTCGAATCCCGCGAACGGGCTGGCTCCATGGGGGGCTGTTTTCGTGGTTTTCCCCATGTGTAACGTGTATACGAGCCAGTTTCCCTTAGAAAGTGCTCCACGAAGGCATCCCTCTCTTCAGGCAGATAGTCCTCGTGTGCTTTGCCATAATTAAATAATCCAGTCCGATCTCGAAATAAGAATGAACAGTCGCTCCTTTCTCAGAGCATACAGCAAAGCCTCCACTTGGGCTTAAAACTCACAAATAATAAATAAGAACTTAACTAATGCTTAACTAAAGAGATGTAACCAAAACTACCACAAATCTAACTAGTTGGCCCTAATTATCGAATAAGCTATAGCGAAGCTATCAACGGCCTGTAATGCGACGGAGCGTAGTAACAGCTTAGAGATGTGGCCAAAAGGCAAACGCGCTAGTCAGAAACTCTGAGGCTCTCTCCCGAAGTCAGTTGAACTTCGACTTAAATACTACTCTTACTCAATTGCATTAAACACGATTCTAAAAACACATTCTGGTAGGAAATTGTAAGCTGAAATTAGGATGGATAGGAAAGGAGCTTAACTTAAAAAATAACTGTTAGAAACTTAGGATAAACCGTACAATCGTAATTTTCTCAGCTTTCCTCAATAACATTTTGACGTTTGCTTTCAGGTGAGAGATTTTTATGAATTTAATTATTTGGAGCTAAGTGTACGTGAAATTCTTTCTTAACTTTTATACTTCTTTCAGTGGAAGATATTCATTTAGGAAATATAACTCCAACTGTTTCGCTGTAGTGCAATTATTTTTCGACTGTTTAATTTTAAACTGATGATGATTCCTTTGAATTATGTTGTAGTTTAATATGCTATGATGGCGAGGTACCGAAAGCTCTTAAAAGATACTTGATAATGGCAATTTTCTTAGTCCTTTGACAAGCCATGTTAGAGTGAAACAGCATTATAGGAATGCAATCTTATTGAGGAAGGGGGTTCAGATTTTCTGCAATCTTATCCTATTATACAGTAACTGCCTGTGTTTAATGTATTTAACTAAGCACAATTTTAATGAAATTTAAAAAAAAAAGTTGCCTGAAGTAAAGGTAAAGATAGCACTTTGTTGGCATTTTATTGCACTTAATCTTGTCTTCCTGTAATCACTGGAAAAATATTTATACAGTTTAATGTAGACAATCTTATTGAAATATATAATAAATGTAAATAATATTATATTAAAATAAGAAGTATTCGATTAAAATTTACGAAAAGGCCATTGCAGTAGAAAAGTTATTTATTTATGTTGAGTTTTATATGAGGACATATTTGCAGTTTCACGTAGCTAATTATTCATTTTCTCAATAATTCTTTAAATTTTTTTTTCCTCAAATTCAAAAAATCTTTAAAAATTATTTTACATGCACAAGGAGAACACAAGCTGGGAACTTACTAATAGTAAATTTACCAAACCTTTGCAAATATATGTAGAAAGGAACCTATATCTGACTTTCCTAGAAATCTACAATTTTTTCATTCATTAACACTAATCTAAGGTTCCCTTTTATTTCCCAATTATAAATTTTAGATTGGCATGCTTCTTTCAAATTAGACTTTAATAGTATTATGAAAAACAGCTAAGAAGCCTCATTAAATGTAAGGATCTTATTCATAAAATCAGATTAACAATAAATTTCAGCAGAATGTGTTCCACCGGTATGGTTATGAATTTAATGCATTCTTAGTTATTTTTTCTTTCTTCGTCGACTTTAAGAGGCATCATTACCCGTGTAATCCCGCTACTCATCCATCTTCTAATGTTCTCTTTAATTCAAAATGGTATGCTGACCGAAATTCCAGATCTGTCACCTTAAAGTATCTGATTATTCCTGCAAATCAAATTGCTCGAATATAGTATTTTTCTTCCAATAGTTCCAGTTGGGTGGTGGCTGGGAAAGCAGATCCCAACATGCCACCCCGCATGCATCTGCATCCAGATTCTCCAGCTAAAGGTGGACAATGGATGAAGCAGGTGGTATCTTTCGATAAATTAAAGCTCACCAATAACCAAATGGATGATAACGGACACGTGAGTTTCTTTCTTTCTTTCTTTCTTTATTTGTTGTGCAACAAACATAATAGGGAAACGATGTTTACTATCTATTTTCTCATCTATCCATCAGAAAGGAAACTTAGAATTACTAATCTATTTAATCTTAGTAAATGTAATTAATTGTCTATAGCCTGTGTGTGATTTACTTATTGAGTATAATTTAATGATTTATTTATTTTAAAAAATGGGATTAATAACTCTCATGAAGTTGTTTTCCTTTCTTTATTATATGAATAACTGAAATAATTATGTTATACCGTTTAAAAGAATGAATTCCACTTTCCATGTAACTCAGTTGATAAAACTTGCAATAGCACCCTAAGGGACCAAAAAATGCAGCGAGCGTTGAGAAATGGAACATTATCTGGGAGTTAACTTTATGCCCTACATATATCATCCTTATCCCCTCTCCTTCTCGCTATCAAAGATTACAAGTAAACGTATGTCCCCTTTACCCTCCACCATTTCGTGTTTACGTCCTGTGCCACGTGGTTTATAGTGGCTGTTTGAACTTTTTTTTTTTTTTTTTTTTTTTTTTTTTCGGGTATCTAAACACAGTTTCTTTTCAAAGAGTTTCAAATGAGGGTATAAACTTCTAAGATAACTTGGATATTTTCGAAATGTAATTGAGGATTAAAAGTTTGCCAAAAAGAAGACGGTAGCAGCAGACAAAACGCTTTGTTACCGATTAATTAAAAAGACTCCTAATTAATATCATGAAATATATTAACCAAACGAACTGGTTGCCTCTAACTTTATTGCGATCTAAATAGATCAATAACTTTCTTTTTTCGTGTTTTATAATTTATGTTGGGTAAGTGAAGTTGAGAACTGAGTAGAGATTTAAATTAGTTTCTTAGTTCCCTCCCCCAGTCCCCCAACATTTTTTTAATTAAAAAAATGCTTTAATTCTTTTTAAATCTTTATCTGTGATCGTTCCATGGGTTTAGACAGGCATGAGGTCTGAAACTTGCAGGTGAGAAGTAACAAATAAGTGTATGATGTTTTAAAATTTAAATAATTAAAATTTTTAAATTAGTATTGCATAAAAATGTAAGACAATAATGCTTGGCAGAGAAAGCATGCCATCCATAATATGTATCAAATCTTAGCTAAATATACTTACTTTTAAGAGAATGTGATGGTTTTTGTGTATTTTTCGAGAAGGTGTATAGTTTTTGAGAAATTGTATCCCGATGTTCATCTGATTATGCCTATAAAATACATTCTGAAAGCAAAAGAAAAATAATTCGTCAATTTGAGTTATTCAATAATTACTATGTAGCTTTTTTATTACAATTCAGTTATCTGCAGTCAAGAAGTTTATTTTCTTCATTTATATTTTTTCCTCTTCTACCGATAGATCATCCTGAATTCTATGCATCGGTACCAGCCTAGGTTTCACGTAGTCTACGTCAATCCTAAAGGAGAAGACGCCAGTCAAACAGAGAACTTCAAGACCTTCATTTTTCCTGAGACAAAGTTCACTGCAGTCACGGCTTATCAGAATCATAGGGTATGACTTTGTTATGAATTTTATTATAATTTTTAAAATCTGATAAAGTGTATTGTCTTATTTATTATAATTTTAAAGTTTGCAGTTGTTCAGAATTATTATGAAAAAAATATTTTATTTCTGGTTGTGATAACACTTTTCTTTTAAACCGCTGAGTTTCTTGATTAAATCTGAGAGATAAATAAATATCTTACGGTTTGTCGAGCGGTAACACATTCCTTTGAAATTGCTGAGTTTGTTAACCCATTCATTAAGTTCGTACATATAATATTAACTAATAAAAACAACACATTCGAATTTGAGAATTCGGTCTTCGAGGTGCACATGTTCGTGTGGACAAGACTTTTAAAGGCTTGGGTGGGCAGGGCCATACTAAGTCAAAGCTGTATTAAGTTACGTGCTCGTATAACATATAACGTGATATAACGTAAGTACAACATGAACAGACCGTATTAAGTTACGTGCTCGTGTGGACAGGGCCATATTAAGTCACGTTTAAAGTTCATGTGACTAGGGCCGTATTAAGACTTTTAAAAAGATTTTGGTGCCCTCAATACATCTCCCCCCCCCCAAATTTTTCCTTTTTCAGCCGTGGTTTAGCTGCACCATTCCGTAATAAAACTTGCGACGGAAATTTTTTGTGGTGCCCCCTTACCTTGATTTATTTAATGGTTAATCCATCTCTGCGTGTGGAAGATTATATGTGTGTTCAAATTCGATAGTTTTAGCTGTCGCTGTTTTTTCACTATGCAAAAGAACATACATACAAATTATTCATTATTAAACAATGGAGGTTAGCTGGACCCATGAAATTATACCAACTAGATTTATTAAAAAAAATGTATTCTCCCCCTTTTTATAATTATTTTAGCGGTTGGTAATTAATAAATCGTAATGCAAGATAGTATTAAGAGGCACTTTAATGCTCTTAAAAAGCTCACTTTGTTGCACTGATAAACAATGGCTTATTATTGTAATGCAGAAGATAAATGAAATAGTTAATGGTCCGTGAAATTGGAAACTGCTTTCAATTATAAGCTACTGTACTTATAATTTTCTGTCAAAGTAAACATAGTAACACTGATTTCGGATGCTTTAGAAAAAATTTATACACATATAATCATTTCGAAGAGAAGAGATTCAAGTATTTGCAGTTATGGCTGATTAAAAACATTTTTCTTTATTCTTGAGAAACACAATCTTATTATGAATTGCATGTGGAAACGAACGCAATAAACACTTGTTTTTGAAAGAACTTCATCGTTACCGATAGAATTTTGAAATACGTTTGCAAGTTAGCAGCGGAAGTGTGATGTTATCTAACAAGAAAGCTTAGTTCCTGTTAGATAACTGTTACCTCTTAGAACTAAAGTGAAAAATGTATGGTTTCTAAATTAGTTTCTGTGTTCTTTATCTGGGTTGGATAGTATTTAAGCTTCTAAAATTATTATTGGCTGAAGCCTTATGTAATTTATCTGCGTGGATGCTACTAATTTTGAAATGAGGCAGTTTATAGAGATTTATTATAAGCATTTACTAATTTTAGGATAGAAATGGGAAATACCCAAATTAAATGGAGGGTTAAAGACTATTACAAATTAAATTTAGAACATATATATATATATAATATATATATATAATTGTAGTAAGCTCGCCTAAAGTTACAAGAGCTGCTGCCCAAAAGGTTCACACGTTTTAAAAAAATTAATACATATGAAAATCAAACATTAGACAGTAAAACTTAAAAAAACAGAAACAGATAAAAGTAAGCGGAAAATGGTAAATTAGCCCAATTCGACTTCCAAACTGGCTTTTCAAGGGAAATTTCATTTATTTGAACGTCGAATCAGCTAACCCATTACGCGTTTCGCCGAAACAGACAATTGAAACTTTTCGCTAAAAAAGTTTTTAATTTAGACAAAGTGTCTTGGAATTTTAATAGTCTCAATTCTCTGTTCCAATTCCCGACGCGTCCGCACAGAATGACACATTAAGGTGTTAAAATATGTTGCTTGATATATAATATATATATAGATATATATATATTCTAATATATCAAGCAGGGCAGTAATTACAATATTGAAGAATCAATTTGAATATATAATATATATTATATATATCGTACATATGTATATCATCATTTGCCTTTCATTGGCCTTATTGCTTTACATTGGTCTTACATTGCCTTACATTTTCATTATATTATACTTCATAAAAAGCGTATACAATGCTATTTATTATCTCTTTCTATATAACGCAAAAAGGGGTGAGAATTAAATGTTTTTATGGAGCTCCTAGCATTGTACTGAAATTGAAGAATTTCGAAATAAAACTGGGAAAAAAAGGGAGAGGAGAGTTAACCATTTGTCGAAAGCATTTGCATCTTGGGCCAAGGAAAAGGAAAAAATCAACTGTGGCTTTGCAAAGATTCAAATCACAGATCTTTCTTTCACTTGAAAACTGGACTTAACCACAACCCCATGCATTCACAAGGAAGTTATATAATTTCTTACATTTACGTATGGAAAACAAATTATACACATACAGAGCTTCTTTTACTTCAAATTGGGATGTAAAATAACACAAACAAAATAGAAAAATACAAAATGCAATATATAGTACAACACATAAAGCAAATATACATGATCATATATGTATGTGTAAATTAATATTACATCATATACATTTATATGCATAAATTTATTTGGATAATATTTACGTAACATAGACTGTTCTGTGAAGTTAGTTTTGTAAAATCATTTCCAACATTTTCAGCTGTCGTTGTTTCATGATTTTACTAAATATCGAAATTTTTTATCGTCTTATAGTCATTTATTTTAACAATAATCATAATGGAATTAACTTCTTGAAGGTGAAGTACGTTGTTTCGAGAACGCTTTATTCAAAGGAAACGATTGCTTTGGTTTATTTAATTACGGCAAAGCACACTAGTGCTATTTGCGTAAGGGGAGGGATGAGAGGGAGGACTTTCTAAGGAAAACTGGCTTGTATACACGTTACACATGGGGAAAACCACGAAATCGCTCATGCAGCCAGCCCGTTCGCGGGATTTGAAACCTCAGACCGAACTACCAGTGTTCAGCGATTTTACCGCTCGGCCGCTGGTGGGCTTTCAAAGGAAAAAGAATTCATCGATCTAGGAATAAATGTGTTTGCTAGTCGCATTATTTGCGTTTTACAGAATTTTGAAATCGTTTCGCAGAACATTTCTTAGTCTAGTTCAGTCCGAATATTGAGCATGAAAAATTTTCCGTTATTCTTAAAGATATGTTAAAATTGAAATGAAAGGAATTACGATAAAGTGCCAATTATCGAATATTCGATTATGTTACATTTCACTTTATTCGATATATCACGAAACCTAATTCGTGGTAGAAACTATTACATAACGTTTTTAGGAATATGACGTTTTTAGGAAAATGAGTAACCCTAGAAAATAAAAACACATCAACTAGTTTTTTTTTTGAAAGTAACGTGCTAACCTTTATATAATACATATTGTTATTAGTCATTCTCAGTATATTTCTTTTGTAGTTTATAGTTTTTATGCGCACTGTACCGGGTATTATGACTGACTGAAGACTGACTTCAAAGAAATCATTTTATTTTTGTAAATATAAAAGTATGAAAATTATATACAGATTTATGTCTGTCTTTAAATGCACCAAATTTGTAAGATGTTAATTTTTGTTCAGTGGATGTTTTTTAATAACTGATCTTCAGAATTTCCGGTTTATCCGATATTCTTGATTATCCGACACAGTTTACTTCAGATAATCGAAATGCACTTTAATAATTTACTTCCAAGATGTTAGTAAAATTAACAATTATGCTTAAATTTTGAAGCATCGACAATGTAATATCATTCCGTCAGAAGACAACGGAGAAATTTTAGAGTCAATAGGTATATATTTGGGGAAGGAAACATGAAAGATGTGCACTCGTCGGGAAACGAACGCCAGACCTCATCATTGCCAGGCGGACGTGCTTCCAATTACACCACGAAGGAACGCGATAAGCGGGGGAGAAAATACCTTACATTCTTCCTCACTGAAAAAGTAACTGGGAAAGGAGGGACAAGATCGGCAAATCCTGGTGGTGACGAATTATAGTCCACCACATTTTAGCTCGGGCGCAACCTGTAGAGTTATTAGGCTTATCTGAAGAAGGAAACGTTAAAAAGTGCTTAGTATCCTTATCTAGATTGGACCTTCGCACCGCGTGGCAATCCTGGGTCCAAATTGTTAAGAAAATGAACATGTAAATTCTGAATATGTACCTAAAATAATGTAAAACTTTTTAAAAAGTGGTCTGCAAAGATCTCAGATATCTTGTTCGAGGGGTATATTTCTCTTTATCCCCTTTTTTAAGAGGAATTACGTTTGATATAATGGAAATTAATACAGCTGAAGTAGCTGCTACAAAATCTACGAAATGCTCTCTCTTTGTTTAATTAACAAAACAAAACCTCATCCAACTTCTTCAAGCCAGTATAATCTTAAATCCCCTATCATAATTGTGGTAAGGATGGATTTAGATTAGTTCTGTATACTTTTTCTCCTTAAGTACACATTATATTCATCAGTAGGGGGTAGAAAGAACATGATCGCGACTGTTATCCTGAGCTGGTACTCAGGCGCAAGACAGTTGACAGCCGATCACGATCGAAAAAACATCCGAACACCCTCCCTTGCTAAACAGAATGTAACACTTAGCGCAAGGTTCACGTGGTGTTAAAAGTGGAAGGGGCTGATGAATTGTGTCACCCCTCGAAAAATAGGAAATCTTTCCTTGCTGACATTGATAGAAGGACAGTTCAGGGTGCAAGACCACCCTCTGCGTCGAGATTTGGACTTCGGCGGGGAATGCTATCCGTGATATTGGACACCCTCTCTCTAAACTTTTCGTCGACGGTGTCGTCCGACTTGCGCTAACCCCATTTATATTTCACTCCCTCAGCTGTGTCAAGTTCATTCTTAAGGGGGCGAAGTCTCCCTTCCAAATAGTGCGGTAAAAGTTATTTCGGGGGCCGATTAAATATTTAACTATTTCTGAATTCAGGTTTATCCACAACTATTGCTAGGAAGTACGGAAAAATTGGATTCTGTGCAATGAATGCAGTTGTGTGCTACAAGAATGGATTATTGAAAGATGAAATATATATCAAATACATTTTTAAAGAAAGGTGGACGTATAAACGCATATATTTTTACACCAGTTTATTAATATTATAAATATTGAATGCAATTTTTTATTTTAAACGTTATATTATACGAACGCGAAGTTTATGAGAACTTTGAAAAATCTCCCATTTAAAGACAACTAAAATTACTGGATTTTGTGTTTTCTAGCTTTTCTTCGTAATGTAAACACATTCCCCTATTTGATCGCAAGCTCGCAGTATTCTCGTTGATACCCCACCTAATATTTCCCCGACCCCTAATAGAGCAAGAAGCTACTCATCCAATAAATCAGTTTGTGGAGAGCTCCCGAGAGATTTAGTAGCTGGTTCTCGGTAAAATGCCAGACATAACGATGGCCAAGATGCTTTGTTATGTTTTATGTGATATAGACTAGTTCCTCAGACTTCTGGCTGAAGCGGTTTGTTTATATATCGGCATTCTTGGGATGAACTCTTCTTTACAAAGAGATTTAGAATTCTTAGGACACTGTGGTATTTGATAACAATAAAAAGTATATAACTGAGTACGACTTCTTTATGTCCTATTTCCCTAAGGGGGTTAAGAGTTATGAAGAATTTAGTGGCCTAAGATCATCTTTTTACTTCAGTTTGATTAAATCTGTTACTGAAATCTTTAAGGTAACTGAGCTTTCTTGGCATATTAAATGTAAGTTTAATAACTAAAGCATATAGGAAAGATTCCATGGTGATGTGAAAGACAAGCAACAGTTTCTGAATTGCAGTTAAATAAATAATATCCTATGGCATTTATGTTGCTTCAAGTATATTGCTTACATGTACGTTTTCTTCAGTACTATGCCTCATTGCTAAGATTTATAAATAGATATATCCCCCCCGACAATTATACGAAAACTCAGTCAGCTGCAATAAAAAAGTTCATCCTTTTATATTTTGTTATAAAAAAAAGCTTCATTTTATTTTTTTTAAATAAGTATGTGAAATACACCGAGTATATACTGTCCTTATATTATAAGAATATTGAAATATCTACAAAAGCAAAATGTGGAATTAAAAAAAAATGTTAAAAATAAATTTAATTAAATTAGCATTTTTTTAAATGTAGTATTTTAAATATTCATTGATGCCTACTAATTCCTCAATAGCTGTGATTGTGATAGTTATGTATAGTCACAGTTATTGCGGAATTTACCAATTTTTCAAAATCTCCAGAACAATTTGATAATCATACATTCAGTCTGATGCGATATGGAACCCACATAATTTCCATAGAAAAATAAACTAATTCTCTCTCATTATATCAGCAACAATGGCACGCAGTTTTTTTAACGATTTTCCTCTTTCTAATCAAAATTCCTAATCAAAAAATGTATGACTATGAATCGTATTTTTTGCATCGTGATTAGAGAAGGATTACAGCGGTATCGTTCTCTCTGTTGTTAGCAGCATTACTTTCAATCTAACTTACCTGGTATCAGGTACTTCCGCTAGTATATAGATAATGAAGGATCTGCATGTATGTATGTCCTTGCATTGTGGAAAAACGGCGGCGTCTAGAGAGTTTTTAATACACATCACCCCCAGACACGTGCATCTCGATACCCGAGTTTTGAATTTCGAATTTACTTTTTTTATTTATTTCATTTTTATGGGAATTTAATGACATTTTTATTACTAAACTCGGTGACTTAAAAACAATGCAGTCTCTAGTAGGAGACTGTAAGATATTAACACAAGCTTCTAGACTGTAAGATACTAACACAGCAGAACTCTACGAATAACCAATAATAAACTGTAATTGAAAATTTTCGTCCACATTTGGCTGTTATGTAAGTTTAATTGTTTTCAATATATTTTTCATGGTCCAACTGATATATATGTGACAGATATACAATAAAATACTTAAACATTATTAAACATTAAAATTAAAAAAATGAATAATAAGTTTTCTATTATTATGCATAATACTATTATTTATAAATGATGAATTTAAATAAATATTAAATGCACTTAAAATATGAACACGCTGAAATCTGACTTTGTGACTCATGTAATCATAATATATATTTTTATTATTAGAAAATTTTATTAGACGTCTATTAGAATGTAGTTATCAGTTGCAATCTTTAAAAACTGTGGTAACTGTTTTATCACTGTGTTCTGACATGAGCAAAAATGTGTCTTACATAATTACAAATACATAAGATAGGTATTTAATATTTCTTATTGTCTACACTTAAGTTTCTAAAACACAGAATGCAGTTTAAAACTTAAATTTAGGGATTTCTGTAACAAAATCTAGTCCCAAATCTTGTAGTTCTGATAAGACATCATTAAAAATCTTTTCAGCTGGAGTTAAGTTCGCCAGAAAACCTTTTTTTCCTTTAATACTTTATATTTCTACAAGTTAACTATATTAATTATAATTAACTTAACTATATTAGGAATGCAGGTATGTTTTCTTTCTTCCATTATATCATCTTCAAGATTTATCAGTAAAAGTTCCATTGCAATAAGCGTCTAAGCAAATCTAATATTATTTTCATTTTCATTTTTTAAATTTATTTTTAATGCTTATGATCTCCTTTCAAATATCAGCACTAGATGACCATATTTTGTTTCAGTAAGTTCAGGTTTTGTAACTTCATGATTATGTTTTAAACGCTCGTGCGTAAAATACAAAAAGGCAAATTTATGATAATCACATGCAACTGAAAACAGAATTGCATTTTCTGCCTGTTTATCGTTCTAAAATTATTTCACAGTAATTAACGTATTGATAAGAGTGACATTTATCACGAAATGTTCTCTGTTTTAACGAATGATTCTCTCAACAAAATTTTTTTGAAAAGGTGGATGAATCCGAAAAAATTCCGCCTTCTATCAGTGGTGGTTATTAAATGAGGAGGTGGGGGTAACAGTGGATGAATCGGGAAATATTCCGCCAGCAGGGGCTACTGCTGAGAGAGGGGGATGGAGAATAGCAGCGAATGAATCGGCACGATTTTGACCACAGGATGAAAAAGGAAATGACTAATCATGAAATCTCCGAAATTACATTAGTCGGACTCATTAAAATCATTATATATATATATATATATTCAGGAACAGGAATTTTGATGGCTGTACACTTCGTTTTCACTGACGTTAGCACTTTTGGACTTGCAGGTACTCGATATCCATTATGTATTTCCATTACACATGGAAGTTGAGAAGATGGTTGGTTATTGCAGACATTTCTACTGGAATTCCAACGCACAGGACATGTATCCTACCAGCTCAATTATTAAGCTGTAATATTTTGGCAGTCGGGCACATGAGTGAAGCTTGGCAATCCAATGACGACACAGAAGGATTTAAATTTATAGCTCCATATCTTTATTCAATTCATAAAGCATATCATCATTCTTTACTAAATAAGCTTAAAATCACTGCGTCATAGTATTCTAACAAAGGGAGGCAGATGAGAGCAGCAGCATAGATCTTAACAGCAGTAGAGGCAGAAAGCGGTCTCCTACGCAAAATGGCGCGAGTTCTCTATTTATAGGAGCGGTTACGTAATAGGCTGGAATGTTCTCGAAAGTACTGGTCTATGGGGAAGATCTTGAAATTGCGGAAAGTGTTAATTAGAGGTTGCTTGTTCGCATAGAGCAAAGCCATCGTGTTTTTTATATTTTACATATATATACTACATTTATAAAGACTGTTTTAAGCGACTGGCCGCACTAACGGCTAGTAAAACAAATAGAAAGGTCAAAACGGGGCATTTGCGCCGGACTTCTCTTTCAGCGAGCATCTACATCCTAATTGTCTAATCGAAATGATAATTTCGTAAGAAGAGTTCACGTATTTTTTGTCTGCTAATTGTTATAGAAAACTCTTTATATATTAGTATTCACATCATCTTAATAACAACTGCATGAAAATGTTTTGGAAAGCTTTCTCTGAGCTTTTGTAGGATGCTTCACGGGATCAGTACCATCACGAGATAGAACCTATATCACCATATGTTGTAAAGTCCTTGTGTCTCGTCTTATTCCTGTCCTGTTTTGTCCTGTTTGCTGCTTTGAAAAAGAACTGTCTTTAAGTGAATGAAATTATTTTTTCATACATGATCTTTCACTTATGGTTTTAATTTCGGATATTTTCAAGAAATAATTAAAATTTTGACAACTGTGTATTAAACGTTTGGTTTATTTGATCCTTTTCAGCAAATTAAATCACTCAGTTATCTTTTTCCTAAGGTCGAAGCTAGGAGCTAAATTAAAAACTAAATTGGCATTGTATATATTCCTTTTATTATTGTTTTCAATCTCGGTTGATAACTCGATGCAAGACATTAGAAAAGACATTCAAATTAAATTCTAAATAGGAGAATCACCTTTGAGAAGTATACTTATATCCAGTTCAGTTAAATATAGAAATTATAGTTGTTATTAATTTTAATAATTAACAGCTTCTTCTGCCTCTTTTCATGAACTTATCCTCATACGTTTTGCTTTTTTACAGATAACGCAATTAAAAATTGCTAGTAATCCATTCGCTAAAGGTTTCCGTGATTGTGACCCAGAAGACTGGTAAGCATTTAAAAATTTATTGTCTTGCATGAAAGTGGATCTAAATATGTATGCAAAATTGAGTTCTCATTTAGTATTTACCTTAAACTAAACTTTTCTCCTTCTATTTATACTTCATTAGTATCATTAATAAGTTATGGATTACTTAAATTTCATAAAATAGCTATATTAATATTTCATTGATATTTTATTGAGATACGAATTATCAAGCATATTATTTTCTAGTGTGATAAATTAACATAATTTAATTTTTCATAATAACTGCCCAATGTATGGTGGAGACAGCAACATGTATAGGAAACACACTGTAGCAGCAAACTCCTCCGTCACTAACTGGCGCGGGCGCGCAATTTGTTGTTCAGTCTACCTTTGCCCGGATTAGACGATTTCTTAGCCGCGTTGCGTAATTTCATGTGAGTATTGTTCAGAGCTGTTTCAAAGTTGTTGGGTGCTGCGATGCCATCTTCCGTTAAAAGAAGTGAATTTGTCTATGGAGCAAAAGATGGGGGCTTTAAAGAGACTAGATAAGGTAGAAAGTGTCAGTATGTATAATGGCTAAGGACTTGGGAGTCGGCAAAAGTACGATTGGAGACTGGAAGAAGAGACAGATGGAAATTGAATCGTGGTGTGTTAAGAGAATGTGTATAGAAATATTGAAAGAAAGAAAAAGTATGAAGGAAGGGGAGTTTAATGAGGTAAATGAAGCGCTTTACGTTTTGTTTAGCTAACCAAGAGAGAAGGACACGTCAATTAGTGGTCCAATCTTGCAAGGAAAGGCCTTGAAATTTTATGAAAAATTAAAAAAAGACAACGGTACTAAATTTGTCGCAAGCATTGGCTGGCTTGATCGCTCGAAGAAACGATATAGAGTGCGACAGCTTAGTATTATGGGTAAAAACTACCTGGGGACACGGAAGGTATGTCTCATTTTAAAGAAAACTTTTAGAAATTTATCGAAGTTGAAGGTTTGACCGCAGAGCAGTTGCACAATTATGATGAAAAAGGGTTAAATTATAAACTGTTACCGGCGAAAAGTCTTGCTTTCAAAGAAGAACAGTCCCAGGTTTTAAAAGGAGCAAGGAGAGGGTAACACTCCTAGCATGCAGTAGTCAACCCACAGATTAAGCCTTGGTGTCATAGGAAAGTCAAAGAAACCAAGTGCGTGCTCATTGAAATGGATAAACTTTCCGTTTGCTATCTAAACCAGTCAAATGCCTGTATGAGTAGAGCAATTTTCTAAAATGCGTCATAAAGTATTTGTTCCATCGGTTGAGCGGTCTCTAAATTAAATACTTCCTAAAAATAAAGGCCATTCTGATTTTGGACAACGCGTCTTCGCATCCAGACATTGAAGAGTTAAAAACACAGCGTTATGACAGTCAATGGACGAAGATGTTCTGGTTAGTCTCTAGAGAAGATACAGGCGCAAGCTGTTATCTTCTCTTCTTTCTGCAAATTATGATGATCAAAGTCTTATCCAGAAAAAATCAACCTATTATGTAGTTGGATGAGTGGCGGACGCCTGGAACGAGTTAAAGTCATTAACACATGTTCGTTCATGGCGAAAACTCCTTGATCACGAGAGAAATTAAGTCTTTGAACATGATGATGCAGATAATGTAAACTTACTCGAACTCCTGAAAAGAGTTTCTTGATGTTCAGAAGCCGGTGAAAAAGACGTTGAACAGTGGTTCCAGAATGATACCGAGCAAAACACGATTTTCGATGCAGAAATTATTGCTGCTATCACAGCTAATGAAGAAATGCCGGAAAATGATTAAGACCTTGAATTTGAGGACTCCATCTTACAAGCCCCAAAAATATCACATAGTGAGGGACTAAAGGCTGTCGAAACCTTCCTGTAGTATTTTGAACAATAAGGTGCGTCGGTAATAAATTTACTGTTCCTTCGTCGTCTTCGTGATGAAGAAACCAAACGCAGAGTTCAGTGCGGAAAACAACAGGATATTGCCTATTTCTTTAAAAAAAAAAATAGTAGCAAGTTTTTGCAAAGTCGGCTAGTTAGTTTTCATTATAGACAGCTTTATACCTTCATAAAATATTTTTCTGAGGTCTGTCTTATCAAGTAAATTACTGCTCAGTCATTAATTTTCATTAGTAAAGACTCTATGCCTTCATTATAAAGTACGTACTTTTGCTTTGTTTAAGAGTATTTGGGTAGTTTGAGTTACAATATTGAATTCTTTGTAAACTGTTATATTCTCAAGCAACCAGCACATATAAGTGCTGTATATTCTTGAGGAAGCACTCGTCTTTATACATTTTAAAACCTTTCTCGATAACCCAGCATTTTCACAAACTCGACCACCCTTCGGTCCACATTAGGCCGAGCTTTCGGGACTCTACTGTACTTTGAATAAAGCTATTTTATAATAGCGATATTTTATAACGCCTGATTTTTATCTCTTTCTTTTCTTCTTTCTTTCTCTGTCTTTCTCTCTGTCTGTCTTTTTTTTAATACAGACGTTTCTTTTCCATCAGCTTCAAGCTTTTCATTCAAAATCATACGTACGTTGTTTGTAAATAACGTCCTATAAATTCCATCGAGGTATTTAAATAATTTGATATAAAGGATAGAAAGATGATCAATACAACTCGAAACTTTTGAGTTTTTAAAATCAGCTTCCTTTCCTTTCTGTAGTGAATATTGATGTCTTCGCCATGATGAATGATGAATGCAATGATAATACAGGGTGATCAGCAAATAAGCCCTGATTTCAAAATTAAATATCTCTACAACAAAGATCGATAGAATTATGCGGTAAAACTGTATGTTTATTAGCAAAACAGAAAAAATGGTGTACAAAAGTTTAAAAAATTTAGTTATGAAAATCGTTAACAGATGGCGCTCTAATCACAATGACCTATCAATAGCCTTTAAAATGTGCTTCGAAGTCGATTGGTTCTGGAATTTCACCAATTAAAACATAGTCCTACGGCAACACGTCGCAGTTTTCAAAACCGATTCAATGTTCCAATTGGACCCAATGCGAAACCCATTCGCATGCTCTTCGCGAAATTCGAATGGAATGGCAGCGTAGCTGATGATCGAAAGGGGAAATGTTGGGCCGAAGCACACTATAGTCACTCCTGAAAATGCAGCCAAAGTTTCTGGATTTGTTCAGCAAAATCCTAGGAAAAGCATCCGTCGGATTGCATCAGAGACAGGTTTGAAGTACACGAGCACACAAAAAATATTTAAAAATAGTCTACGCCTATTTCCATACAAAATCCGAAGTCATCAGACCATACCCATGAAAGCTGTGCAACAAAGGGTTGACTTTGCGAATCAGATTCTAACAACGATGGACAACGACAGATTTGATGTGAGCTGCATCTGGTTCACACACATTTGAATGGCACATTTTCATTTGAATGGAATAGTTAATAAACAAAACTGGAGATTTTGGGGTACCGAAAATCCTCATTTGCGTGAAAAAAAAAAAGCACTGCATTCGCCTAAAGTTATGGCATGGGCTGCGGTATGCGCCGGAGGCATTATCAGACCCTTTTTCGTACGAGAAACGGTAACTACTGAACGTTACGTTACAATTTTGGAACAATTTGTCAGCACTCAACTAGCGTTGGAGGATCGACCAGGTATTGACTGGTTCCTGCAAGATGGGCCTCGACCACATCGAACAAATAAAGTTTTCACTTTCTTCATTAGTACTTTGGGAATAGATTAATTGCGTTAGATTATCCTCAATTTACTGATACAGGAATAGCTTGGCCTCCATATTCTCCTGATGTGAGTCCTTGTAACTTCTTTCTGTGCGGCATATTGAAAGACGCTGTCTATCTAAACAATTCTGCTACTCTAGATGAGCTTGAATCGTTGATTGGTGCTGCATGTGATTCCATTTCCGTCGAGACACTGCAAGACGCGATGTCAAATTTCATTGTTCGTTTACGGTTCTCATTGTTTTGAATGGAGAACATTTTGAAAAAATTGTATTTTGATTGCAAAGGGCTGCTTCACTTTATTTGTTTAATTAATTTTTTTGACTCCTTTCAGAAAAGAGTTTTCAGCGCAGAGCGCCATCTGTTAACGATTTTCGTAACTAAATTTTCTAAACTTTTGTACACCATTTTTAAAGTTTTGCTAATATATGTGCAGTTTACCGCATAATCCTATCGATTTTCGTTGTAGAGATATTTAATTTTGAAATCAGGGCTTATTCGCCGATCACCCTGTAGTTACACTGAAAATAGATGCGCTGATAATAGAAACAGACCGGCTCTATAATTTCCCTGAATATTTGATAATGGTTAATATAGCTTTAAGTAATTAGATTGCTTACAATTTACCGTTACTATACAGGGTATAAAGCTGTTAGTCGAAATTTAAGATCAATTTTTACTTCTTGTATGAAGTAAAAAGGAAGTATTGTAATTGAACAAAATTCCGGGTATCATAGTTCAACGAAAATTCTATTTTGACCGCTATCTAATGCAAACGATGTTTTTGCGTGACATACTATGTACGTAAGAGCAGAATAAAGGACTTCCCCCCCAGAAAAATTATAAAACTTATTTAAAATGAATTCTGAAGAGATTTTATCATGGCGTCTGTACGTACGTACGTATGTATCTCGCATACCTCAAAAACGAATAGCCTCAGAACGTTGAAATTTTGTATATAGCACCGCTATAACATGTAGATATGCACCTCCCATTTTGGTTGCAATCGGCCGCACCAAAAGTATATAAATAAATATATATCCATTCTGTTATTCGGCTCAGTGAACTCAGTTTCTTTATTCTTATATATTTGCAAACTGTGCATTTTTTGCTTTAAAAATGATTGAATTATGTTGTTCTGGTTAAGATTTTTATGCCTTTTGTTAACCTGAATGCAATAATTGTGGAATTATCAACAATTTAAAAGTTTTTTAAGTGCGGCTAAGCCTTAATTACCATAGCAGTCATGTTTGTTTACATTTGAAACTTAGCAGAATAGTGGATTTATTGTCAAT